TGGGTGCATTAGCAGGCAGCTGGATAGAAAGTGGGGCAGGTGGAGCAGCTGGAACTCTCACTGGCACTCTGATATGGAACACCAATACTTTAGGCCGGGGCTTCACCTGCTATACCACAATGCCAAATCTACTCGTCTTATAAGAACACCAGTCACAATGGGCTGCGGCCCACTCTAACAGCTCATTTTAACTCAGTCACCCCTTTACAAGTCTCTTCTCAAAATACAAGTGCTGAGGGGTAGGACTTAGATGTAAGAAGTTGGGGAGCAGCACGATTCAGCTGAGAAGTGCACTGGGAAGCGAGACCTACGAGAGGACATCCAAAAGTTCACAGGAAATACACACCGAAAAATACTGCATCGATTTCAGAATTCTTGTACCAAAGTAGATTTATCTTTTCAATTAAAATTTTCCAAGATCTTTTTGAAGTCTCCTCATATGATGCTCCTGCTGCAGCTTATGGCAGTACCCACAGGGAAAGGCTGCACAGCCCAGAAGAACAGGGAAATAAGGGACCATGTCCAGTGAAAACCTCAGTGAGCTCAAGGGACAGCATGTCCACCTGATGCCATAGGAGTCTTTGTTGTTGGACGTGGGCTGCAGTTGATTGCTTGAGCCTCCTGTGTTTTCTTCTTCCTGCAGCATTTTTTTTAAAAGATTTATTTATTTATTTGAAAGGCAGAGTTACAGAGAGGCAGAGAGAGAGAGAGACTGAGAGAGAAAGAGAAATCTTCCATTTGCTGGTTCACTCACCAGATGGCCACAATGGCAAGAGCTGTGCCTATCCAAAGCCAGGAGCCAGGAGCCTCCTCCAGGTCTCGCATGCAGGTGCAGGGGCCCAAGGACTTGGGTCATCTTCTACTGCTTTCCCAGGCCATAGCAGAGAGCTGGATCAGAAGTGGAGCAGCCAGGACTTGAACCAGAGTCCATATGGGATGCCGGCACTGCAGGCGGCAGCTTTACCCACTTTGCCACAGCGCCGGCTCCTCCCTGCAGCATTGTTTCTCTTGGGCTCCCTGAAGACCAATACCACCAGGACATTGTGAGACTATAAATTGCCTTCTCTCTTCCTGCTACCACCAAATAGAACAATGTTTCCTAACATGTGGAATTCAAACTACTGGTGAAATTGTGAGATAAACCTGGATGTTACACAGACCAACATCTTTGGAGAGTTATGAATTTATTTGAATTTGTATTAAAAACACAGCACCCATCCTACTATAACCTGACTGATATTGAGGTAGAGCCATCAGGGGAGGGCATTGTGACACAGTGGGTTAAACTTGCTTACAACTGCCCGCATCCCATCACAGAGTACCTGAGATCAAGTCCTGGCTACAGTGCTGGTCCAGCTTCTTGCTCACGCACATCCTGGGAGGCAGCTGATGATAACTCAAGTACTTGGGTCCCGGCTGCCCAAGTGGGAGACCTGAATAGAGTTCCTGGCTACGGGCTTCAGCTTGGCCCAGCCCCAGCTGTTACAGGCATTTGGGGAGTTGAACTAGTAGATGAACAATGTCTCTCTCTCTCTCTCTGTCACTCTATCAAATAAATTAAAAATAATCATTTAAAAATAAAATAGAAACATCAGGTCAGTTAAAAGAAAAAATATTCTGTAAGTATCATTCAGTAGATCATTTGACAATTGTGAAGGTGGTTGCTAGAGTGACTGAAATTTGGGAAACACTGGGGTAGGTCTCCATGAGAAGGAAGCATGTCTGGTTCTGGGCAGAGAGGTCGTGTGATTTTTTTTAAAACTGGATTTATCGGCACATTTGGCCCTACGTGGCCCTGGGAATAGCCATGGGTGGCGGCTGCTGACCTTTGGTGTCTCTTGTCTGCGACCTTGTGCCAGTCACACAGGACCAGGCCAGAGAAAGAGGCAAGAGGGCTCCTAGTGGCAAGCAGGGGCTGGCGCTCATCCTCACAGCCTCTGGATTTTGTTTATTTGGAGTCTCACTCCAGGGCTTCTGACCAGCTTGGCAGCAGCTGTGTGTGTAAGCAGGTGTTTATTCCTACACGGTCAGGAGTTTGAGCCATTCAAAGGGTGATGCCGAACGATACACTTAAAGCTTCATTCCATGGGTGCCATTAACAGAGTTGGCATAATTCTCTGAGGTTAATTGCTATTCGTTTCAGCACTGCTTTTCCCCCTTGAATTTTGCTAACAGTGCTGAGTAGCAGCCTATCTACTCCGCATTTGGCTCTGTTTAGCAGTCAGCTGCAGCTGCTCGCACCTTCCGTAGCCTGCCCCTGTGTTTTTGCACTGGGCACCTGGCCCCTGGTGCTGAACTGCTCCAGGGTTCTGTTAGCCTGTTTCTGGCTGCAAAGTGTGGCCATCGCTTAGCTTTGAATGCCAACCTTCTGTAATTTCTGGGCCCCCAAAAGTTGTGTTTTGTATTATTCATGCAATGTTGCCTTCCAGTGTCCACAGGATTTACGTCTTTGGGGAAAATACTCCCTTCTAGAATTGCAGAAGGTTGGTCACACAGCTTTCCTTGTGTCTGTCCATGTTAAAACACAAATGCTGACCTAGCAGGTCTGAGTGCAGCCTGAAATTTTCTGCATTTCTCACCTCTTCTGGGTGATACTGATGTTTCTGGCTGGGGACTAGGGACAACACTTTGAGTGACAAGGTTTACAGCAATTCTCCTTACATCCACGTTAATACCCGCAGCACAAAACAGATCATCTCTGGAAAGCCTGGCTGGATGAGGGGTGTCCTGGTAGACTCTGCATGTTCTGCTTCTGCCTGCCTGCCCAGCTTTTTCATCTCCCACTTCCCTCCATCCTCACTAGCACTTTGAGTTCCTCACGTAAGCCAATCCCATGCTCTCGCCAGTGCCTTTGCACATTCCCTGTCCCCAGAGTCCTCCCAGTCCCACTTTCTGAAGGGATTTCCTCTCCGCTCCCTTCTCATGGCACCCTACTGGTTTTCTCTGTGGCAGTTAACTTCCTGTGCCACCTCTTTTCCTGTTTACTTGCAATTTGTTTCTCCTTCAGTCCAGGGTATCTGAGGAGAGCTTCCCACACCACTGTATCCTTAGGGTGGCGCCCGGCAGCAGGTGTTGAGTAAGTAAGTATTTGCTAGCTGCATGTGGGTACAGACAGGGTCCCAGGCACATTCTCGAGTACCCTTCTGCACATTTGAGTCACCTGCCTGGAGTGGCTGCAATGGGGATGACAGAATCAGTTCCTGCTGTGGGCATAGAATAAGTCAGGAAAGGAGCTATTTTAAAGGCACACCTTGGGGCTGGCACTGCAGCGCAGTAGGTTAATCCTCCATCTGCAGTGTTGGCATCTCATACAGGTGTTGGCTCTAGTCCTGGCTGCTCTTCTTCCAATCCAGCTCTCTGCTATGGCCTAGAAAAGCAGTGGAAGTTGGCCCAAGCACTTGGGCCCTTGTACCCGCATTAGCGACCCAGAAGAAGCTCCTGGCTCCTGGCTTTGGATCGGCACAGCTCCGGCCATTGCAGCCATCTGGGGAGTGAACCAGCGGATGGAAGACCACTTTGGCTCTCCTTTTCACTGTCTGTAACTCTGCCTCTCAAATAAATAAATAAATAAATCTTTTAGAAAAATGAATGCATAACTCATCTTTGGAGTTGTTAAAAAGTGAAAGGAGCGTGCATCTTAGAAGAAATACAGTAAGCCTAGCATTTATTAAAAGGAGTTCATGTGAAATTAGTTTATGGATTACATAAAGGTACTGTAAGACCTCTCATGAGTTTTGGCATTGTGCATCGTGAGTCTACAAAGGAAGGGGCACAATCCTGTCTTTAGTGGCACAGTGGCTGTGGCAGAGGCATTGTGGTTCATTTACTGGGAGGTTATTCCTTTTCTGCCTGGCTGTTGTCTTCCTTGTTGTCAGGGACCCTCCCTCCTACTTTTGAGTATGAAGTTGTCAAATACTCAGTTTCCCAGCCTTCACTGCAGGAAGGGCATGAACACGGTGCCTAGATCTGGGTAGCGAATCTGAGCAGCGGCATATCTGATCACAGTAGATATGCAAAGGGAAATTCTTCCCTCTTTTGTGATATCATTGGGTGAGGACATGATACCTGGAGCCACAGCAGCATCTTATAAGCATGAGGCGACACACTGGTTGAGGACAAAAGCCAAAATGCCGAGGATGGTGGAGTAAATAGAGGCAGAGAACCTGGAATCTCAGCTGCGTCACTGAGCTGCTGGATTTGCTACCTTGCATGGTGCCCTTCTGGTTGTGCACAGTGACACGTGTTCTCATTGTTAAAGCCATCTTCACTCACAGCTGAAAGGGCTGTGCCTGGAAAAAGGGTCATTTGGTTTTTCTCCAGTCACACAGGCTAGAATTGACCCCAGTTCTACCCGTGGTAATCATATGTTTGTTTGTTTGTTTGTTTTTTTTTGGACAGGCAGAGTTAAACAGTGAGAGACAGAAAGATCTTCTTTTTCTACAGCCGGTGCACCGCGCTGATCCGAAGGCAGGAGCCAGGTGCTTCTCCTGGTCTCCCATGGGGTGCAGGCACCCAAGCACTTGGGTCATCCTCCACTGCACTCCCAGGCCACAGCAGAGAGCTGGACTGGAAGAGGAGCAACTGGGACAGAATCCGGCGTCCCAACCGGGACTAGAACCCCGGGTGCCGGCACTAGGCAGAGGATTAGCCTAGTGAGCCGTGGCGCCGGCCCCCAGTTTACCTGTGGTAATCACGTGTTTGTTTCAAAGCTGTTTCCTTTATGAGCTGGAGATGTTATTAATAATGGCCACCTCTTGTGCCACTCATTACAGAGGCTTAGAGGAGATGATAGATGTGGCGTCCTCAGCCTGGAATTTGGCACATTGTTGGTACTTGATAATGAGGAGTTATTCTTCCTAATATTTTTGATGACAGAACCTCACCTCATTTGTTGTTGGAAGATCCTCTGCCATCCCGAGGAACCCCACATTCCATAGTCATCAATAACACTGATCTCCTCAGACTCTTTTTACAGAAGAGAAGCAGGCCAAATCAGTAGCTGTTCTTTAGGTTCTTTTATTTTGAACAATGTGCATGGTTCAGGCTCTCACTTCCACTCACACTAGGAACCACAGAAGGACAGAGGTTTGGGTTGAAATGGTGTGCTTTTATGGGAAACAAAAATATTCAACAACAATAACAAAAGCTCTTCCATCTCACCAAGTTCTCAACCAGTGATAATGAGGCAGTTTCAATGATTGTGTCTGACTGGGGACATTTCTAAAGGGTCAGGGAAGTTATTGACGTTGGCCAAAGAGAGAAGTTATGGGGGGTGACTTTTAAATGTGAGTATACTAGACTTCCCTTCTGGTCCCTCACCCTATCACCCTTTCAACATACAGTCTCCTCCCAGTGTACACAGATACTTCCTGAACTTTGCTCAATACAGTCTCTTCCCAAAAGCTTTTCTTGGTCAGCATGAACTGCATATGCCTTTTCAGTGTCACACACACACACACTTTCTCACGCCTTCTCCTGTCACTTTCTTCCTTACACCCATCATGTCTGGGTAACTGCTTTAAGATACCCATGATGAGTAGACTGTCTCTAAGCCCAGGGCCTGTGGTGTCTCATCCCAGTGTCCCCCCTCTCCCATTCAGTGCCCCATATTCAGCAAGTGTGCAGCAGCAGTAGGTGCTCAGTGGGGGTTTGTTGAAGTCAGTTCTACATTGGCCACTTCACATCACCAGAGTCTTCAGAGTTGTAACTGTCATTTCCACTTCTTCATCCTTCCTCCAAGACCTCAAAATGGTCTGACTCAAGACATCTCCATGCAGGAACAGCCCCCCTGAACATTACCAACTCAGGGCTGGAGAAGGGAGGAGAGAAGTTTAAGTTTCCACCGTGTTCCAGAAGGCAAGGAGGCAGAAAAGGCAGCCACGGGGAAAGTGGGGATGACCATGAGCAGTGTTGGCCACTGCTTCACTTGGGAATCCTATAAGCAACTGTTTTTCTGAAGTTTCTTTGTGTGATACAGCCAACTTCTTAGCAGGAGCAGGGATGGGTGGGGTCTGGGATGGTTTTTCTGCTAGGCTAAGGACTAGTGGCACCAACTAGGACCTTTCTCTTGGATGTGGCCCACTCTCCCTCCAGACCATGGTGAGAGTTGCTTGTCTAGTTTTTGGGTAGGAGCTAAGGTGGGAACATAGCCCTGTGGTTGTTGAGTTGTCAGGCACATAGATTGTAATAAGGCTGAAGAATACAGGCTGCTTGCTGTACTGGGCCTCTCCTTGAAAGGGTCAGGGTGGGGAGTTGCAGGGAGCAGTGAAGAAGAGGAGGTCCCAATGGGTTCTGCAGCTCAGATTTCAACAGGTGCCAGGCTCCATCTCCCACACCCAGCTTCCTCTCCTTTCCTCTGGTCCTCTAAGTCCGGGCCAGGCAAAGGGGCCAGTTGGAAGTGGTGGAGGGAAGGGAAGTGCCTTTTTTTTTCCTACCATGGATTCTGGATTTGGACAAGGGAGAGGTTAGGGTCAAGGGGCAGAAGGAGGAGGGTTGAAGAGCTGAGGAGAGATCAGGGCCCTATTCAGTTCTGTTTACTGGAAGAGCCAGTGGATTTGAGGCTCATACATCCAAGTGCATCATCCCCCAGAGAGCTCCTAAGTGGGGATTTTGAGAAAATTCTTCTTGGGATCTCCAAAGCGCTCCGTGGTTCAGGAGGTCATTGTGTATCCTCCTGTGGGAGGGCCCCTCTGGGGCCAATAAGATGTGAAAATCCCATGGTCAGCATCAGTGCTGGAGCCTTGGACTAAGGGCCAAGAAGCAGAGAGAAGAGAGGTGTCTCTAGGCACCTTTTCTAGGAATGAGAGTTGGACTTTAGGGGACTCAAGTTAGGAAGGACAGATGTTTTGATATAAAAAGGATCCCCCGTCAAAGGACAGAGTCCCCTCAAATCCCTTCCCAGGTCCCACAGCACTTAGAAAAGAGGGAGTAAGGAGCATAAAAATATCTTGATGGTGCAGGCTTGCCTGACAGTACAGAAAAGTGAATCTCTGGCAGGCAACATGCCCCATTATACAAGAGAGGGTTACACCAAGCTTCTGTGTTGAGATTTTACAGCTATCTTTGTAGAAATGCATATATATAGTTATAGAGCCTCCGCTTAGAACAGCCGAGCTTGCTTCTTGAGCTCATTCCTCTTCCACAGGGCCAGCCGGTCGAACTCAGAGATGGTCATACCGAAGACTTGGTAGAACTCTTCCTGGGACAGGTGGCGCTGTAGGGAGGAGAGGGTGTGGACAGGGAGAGAACAGCATGAGGAGGTCAGGTGCAGTCTGGGAGGTGGTCTTGACCCTGGCAGGTGTGTGTGGTACACAGGTGTTGAATGGATGAATGTGGAAATCAATGTCGCCCTGGCTGATCTGGCTGGGGAGGTCGCTGCTGCCCATGACTCAGTACCCCTCAGCACCCTTCCTGCACCCTGCTTGACCTTTCTGTGTCCCTGCCCCATGCATTTTAGTTTGGAAGTGTACAGGGATTAATGCCATACCACTCCTCTTTTGCAGGATTTTAGGGTGTGGTTCTTCTTATTGATATCTTTACAAATGATTTGGAAGTTTGCTGTTCATCAGGCCAGTCAATGCAGAAAAGTAATCTTACTGCTCATAGTTTTCAACCACTGAAATGTCCTTTTATCTCTTTTTTATATGAAAACAAAGACACCACAAGAGCAAACATTGATCTGTGTTCCATGGCAAATCCCACCCCTCCCCTTTCTGCCCTCTATCCCTTCTCAGCAACCATAAAAATGTGACAGATCATCAAAAGCTTTTAGAGTTAGAAATATGCAGCACTTGGGGTGGACATTGTGGTGCAGTGGATTAAATCACTGCTTGGGATGTCCACATTCCATATTGGAGGGCCAGTCCCAGTCCTGGAACCTTCATCTCTGAACCAGTCCCCTATCCATGCATCCTGGAAAGCAGTGGATGATGACCCTGCTACCCATGTGGGAGACCCAGATGGAGTTCTGGGCTCCTGGCTTTGGCCTGGCACAGCCCTGGCTCTTGTGGGTATTTGGGAAGTGAGACAGTGGCTGAATACATTCTTTCTTTCTCTCTTTCTTTCTCTCTCTCTCTCTCTCTCTCTCTCTCTCTCTCCCTCTCCTCCTCCCCCTCCCTCCCCCCTCCCTCTTCTCCTTTTCCCTCTCCCTCTTCCTCTCTCTTTCTGTCACTCTTGCCTTTCAAGTAGAAGAAAATAAATAAGCATTTTATTTAAATCTTAAAAAAATACAGCACTTAAAATGTGACAAAATGTTAACAATTTGTGCATTTAGCAGGTAGGTAGATGTTCATTTTACTGTTCTTTCAACTTTTCTGCAGGTTGAAATTATTCTAAATGAAACTTAAAATTAAGTTTGAAATGGTAAATGTAAGGCATTTATCCTGCCTGCAAGCTGACTGGATTCATTGAGCTGACCTGTTGGTAGCAATTATGTTAACTGACTGAGTACTGAAAACCATTCACTGAGAATTCTGTACACTGCCACATAATAATGAGCTAGTTCTCTGGCCTAGTGTCACCATGAACTAATATTTTAGGCACATTTCCAGAATTTTAAGCTCATGTAACTTTTGGTGAAAGTCTGATCGATATCCTTGGCTGCTGATGACTTCGAGTTGACTTTCCCATACCTGACCATATTTAATAACACCAGTAATTCTTTACATTGCATTTTTGTTATTCTCAATAGTTTAAAACTCATGTTTACTTTCATTTCTCTCATTTAGTCCACTGAACACTCTGAATACTGGCAACTATTTTTATCCAGTTGAAAGATGCAAAAACCGAAAGTCAGAAAATGAAAATTCTTGCTTGTCCAAGAGGGAGGGAGAGGAGGAAGCTGAGCTGAAGCCACAGCCTAGGCCTTTAGATTCTATATGCATTTTACTCTCACTGCCCTCCTGGGTCAACCACATTAATAATGTACAGGATTTATATTTATATATATATTTATATAATTTATATACAAATTTTTGTAACTTATAAAGATCTCTATCCTGAAAAAAATCAAAAATATGCAAAAGGGAGACAAATAGTACAAGGCACATGTCCATTGCCCAGATTGAAATATTATCAAGCTCTTGTTACTTTTGCTGCACCTGTCTATTTTTTAATTAATGTACTTTGTTTTTTAGAAAAGTTTTATTTATTTATTTATTTAAAATGCAGAGTTAGAGAAGGGGGGGGAGAGAGAGATCAAATCTTCTATCTGTTGGCTTATTTCCCAAATGCCCACAGTGACCAGGGGTAGGCCAGGCTGAAACCAGGAGCCATGAATTCCATCTGGGTCACCCACAAAAGTGGTAGGAAGCTAAATACTTGGGCCATGATATACTGCATTCCCAGACCCATTAGCAGGAAGCTGGATCAGAAGCTGAGCAGCCAGGACTTGAACTGGCATGCTGGGGCTGCGAGTGGCAGCTTAACCCTTTTTGCCTTGTTGATCCTGCTAATGTACTTTAAAGCAAAGCCTAGAGACTGAGTCAATCCATTCCCATAGATTTGAGTATGGATCACAAAATATAGTGTATATTTTCTCCCATAACCACAGTGCCATGAGAAGCCCTAGGAAAATCTGACAATAATTTCTCAGAATTACCTAATTTTTGTCTCTAATAAAATTCCTCTAATTGTGTCACAGCCATCATATTACAGTTGCTTTGTTTGAACAAAGATACAAACCATATCCGTACATCAAATTTGATTGTTAGACCCCTACAGCATCCCTCCTTTTTTCCCCAGGCTATTGGCCTGTCCCTATTTGTTCAAGTGAGAGCTTAAAGATAATGTGGGTAAGAGGGAATTCTCTGCTCTGTTCCTTCCATAGTAATAGCTGAGGGAAACTGCCATTTAGTCTCACTTGCTATTTTTTTGTTGTTGTTGAAGGACGTTGTACTATTGATTCTTTGGTTGGCTTTCTCTATTGTGTCCAAAAATTTTTTTATAGGGCTTGATATACAGGAATGGTAGATTCAGTCTCAAGCAACATGTTCACAAGTGAGACACATTGAGTGGAGATGATGGGTTCTCTTCTCTCCTTCCCCTAAGGGCCAACTTAAACTGCTTCCTCCTTCAAGTTCTCAGTGCTCCTGAGCCCTGCCCACCTAAAATCTGACTTCATAGCAGAAAGGTCAAGATCATGGCTTTCAGAACCAGGCAGTGTGGCCTTGGACAAATTACTCAAGCCCTCTTGAGCCCCAGTTTCCTTTGCTGAAATTGGAGTGTCCTGGGGCCTATCTCCTGGGCACTGTGAGGGTGAGAGAAACACAGGTCACACACTCAGCATGTGGGCAGCAACTAGAAAGTACTCAGATTCAATTGCTTCTCATTCTCACAATGGTGATTGTCTTTCCACATGTCTGTCATGAAGCATGATCTGGTCCCCATTTCCTCTGACTTCATCCCCTCCTCATCTCTTCTGTGTTCATGTGAGCCCAGCCACTGTCTCCTTCTGCTGTGCTCAAACATACTTGGCTCCCACCTGCATCATAGCCTTGATACTGGCTGCTGCCTCTGCTTGATATGTCCTTTTTTTTTTTTTTTGATAGGCAGAGTGGACAGAGAGAAAGGTCTTCCTTTTCCATTGGTTCACCCTGCAATGGCCTCTGCGGCTGGCGCGCTGTGGCCAGCGCACCGCTCTGATCTGAAGCCAGGAGCCAGGTGCTTCTCCTGGTCTTCCATGCGGGTGCATGGCCCAAGCACTTGGCCCATCCTCCACTGCACTCCTGGGCCATAGCAGAGAGCTGGGCAGGAAGAGGAGCGACCGGGACAGAATCCAGTGACCCAACCGGGCCTAGAACCTGGTGTTCCAGCACCGCAGGCGGAGGATTAGCCTATTGAGCCGTGGCGCCGGCCCATGTGTCCTTTCTTTCTACAAAAGCATGGCTGACTCCTTCCCTGACTTCAAGTCTTTGCTCAGGAGTCACATATTTAATGAGATCCTCTGTGACCACTGCTTAAAACTGCAATTTGCCCCTCCCTGTCACCCCCAATCCCTCTCACTCTGCCCTTCTTTTACTTTCTCCATTGGTCTGAATTGCCTTCTAACACATCCTAACACTTTTTTTTTTAAACTTGTATCCTTTATTTATGTCTGCCTACACAAGAATGCAAGCTTCAAGAGGGCAGAGGTCTCTGTTTTGCTTACTGATATATTGTAAGCACCTGCAACAGAAACTGGCATGCCAAAGAGATTAATCTTTGGATGATTTTTTTTTGGATGAACGGACATCTATACTCTGAGACCCCTCAGGACATGGCTGTGGTCTATCTTCTTCACTCCCCTCCTTGAACTGGCACAGGGCATGAGGGCAGCAACTTTAGCTCAATGACTCAGCTAGGGCTACATATGAGATATTCTGGGGAGCTTTTTTTAAAAATACTGATGCCTGAGCTGTTTCTCCAGATTTTAATTTAACTGGTCTAGGATGGGGTCCCTGTATGGCATTTTTAAAAAGCCCCCTGGGTGAATCTGAGCTTTTCAGGCCTGAGTTTCTGAGTGCCTTGGACAATGTTTTCACACCTTTACACCAGCCTCTTTGAGCTACTGTGGGAGCTGTCCCCTTCAGCACCACAGTCTTGGAGACCATTGTGGCAAATGGAGAAAATTGTCTACTTCCTTGGACTGCTAACCCAGCATACTAGAGCTGAAGAGCTTCCTGGTCCATGTACACTCCTCTTCTTCTGCCAAAACCCTCCACCCTGGGTGAATTCTTTAGGGTCAAGGGTGGTGCATAGACTCTTACCAAGGAGCTCTGAGCTGCCTCCTTTGGAAGCTTGCATTCAGTACCACAAATATCTCTGACAACTCTCCAGCCCAAACACTATGGGAGATGACAGATAATCTTTGTCCCTAAGAGGCTCGGGGTCAGGTAGAGGAAATGAATAAGTCAATTAACTGATACAAAGTAGAGTGACAGATGCTTGATCTGCACTCAGGGTACAAGATCAGGTAGGAGAGGTCAGAGGAAGAATCAAGGAAGCAAGGTTGTCACTTAACTAAAAATGCCCACTTAGCGATGGCAGAGTCAGAGTTTGACCCTAGGAAGGCAGATTTGATACGAATTTATGCTTTGACTTTCTACACAGAGCTGCCCCCTCCAAATTACCCTACCATAAGCACTAGTTTTATGTAAAATCCTGAGACTGTGGGTCTGTGGAAGGCAGGGAACAAATCTAGTTCTCTCCCATGTCTACAGCAGCACAGCCAGAAGTCGCTGAGTGCAACAGGTGCTAACTGAACTGAAGAGGAGGCAGCCTAGAACAGTGGGGAGTGCCTTGGGTTGAGCAGCCGATTCAAGTCTCTGATTTTTTTTAATAAGATCTGTGACCTTAAAGCTAGCTGTCTATTTCAGTCATTCCTCCTGAGCTGGGTTTGACCAGGAAACTCCTAGAATTCCTCCAAACCCAAAGGCTCCCACTCAGTTTTCCAGACTTACCTCCAGGCGGGTCCGGTCCACATCCTTGGGCAGTCGGTTTCTGCCTCTTGTGGTCACCAGGAGAAGTTCATAAGGGTAGATCTAAGAAGAGAGGGGTGGGGTGTTTCTACCTTGGGGAGGGTGGTGGGCTTTTCCCTTCCAGCTGTATTTTGTATCTAGGCTCCCTCTTCTATCCAGAAAGGGCCATTGATGGTGTTTGGAGGAAGGGTTGGGTCTCACCTCCTTAGGCTTTACAAGTAGCCTTAAGGCACCTTCTCCCCAAAGCAAGGCCCTGAAGAACCCCCTAATATTGCTAGGGGTATGCTTGGTGGCATTTGGTATTCATGTTGGTACAAGGGTTCCTGCATGTAAGTGTCTAATATTTGTCAAGTCCCAGAAAGTCTCTGAGGCCCAGGCAAGCTGTTTGATTTCAGTGGGCAAGAGATCTAGGGAAGGAGTCAGGGAAAGTGGGCCAAAGAGGGACAGGAAATGTTAGTCTTGAAAGAACCCTTGTGGTTAAATATCCATGTCCCCTTCTCTGCATAGATGGTGCTGCCATCCTCCTGCTTGTCCCCAGTGTGGCAACTCCCAGAATCCTGGAGACCTCCACTGACAGTGCATGTCCTTTACCTTGTACTCTGCAAAGAGAAAAGAGACACACAAAATGGAGTCCATCAGTCTTTGTTTTGCATACTACACTGGTCTCTGTCCATCTGCTTCTCTTGTCCATCCAGAGTCCTGTCCTTGCTGAATCTACCCTGGAGAATAATCAGGGCTGGGTTGAGTCTGATGGCTGGAGATAGGAGTTGGGCTGCTCTTAAGATGGTTTTAGAGGGAAAAATGGCTTTTGAGATATGTAGAACAGAAATCAAATGAATCTGAGGTGGACATTTGGTGTAGTGGTTAAGAATGCCCACATCCCATCCCAGAATGCCTAGGTTTGAGTCCTGGCTCCACTCCCAACTCCAGCTGCCTGCAAATGGCCTTCAGAGTAGCAGATAATGGCTCAGGTGGTTGGCTCCCTATCATTCACATGGGAGACCCAGATGGAATTCTGCGATCCTGGCTTATGTTGGCCCAGTCTTGGCTGTTGCAGGTATTTAAGGAGTGAACCAGTGTATGGGAGGTCTCTATCTGTCTCTGTTTCTCTCTCCTGCTTTGAAACAAATAAAATAGGAAATTAAAAAAAAATGAAATAAGAATTTAAGATCATGAAGCACATGAGTCCAAGGGGCCCCTCATCCCTGGGCCTGATAATAGGAAGTGGAGAAGGCTGGCATGAAAGCTTCCCTGGCAGAGAACATAGAGTTTTTACTGGGAACAAAGTGCATTTGGCTCTGAGTGTTTCCCTCCACTAAGACTGGCATGTAGCTCTAGCCTAGCAGTCCAAGGGGAGTGGTGCTCTGTGATGGCTCTGAGAACCAGATGGGACAGATGGTCTGGAGATCACCCAAGGCCCAGGACTCTAGAGGATGCAGGATGAGCAGGGAAAAGGGAGAAAGTGGGATGTGAACAGGATAGAGTCCAGCCTGGCAGCAGAATCTGCAGCAGTTGTTTGCTGGAGGTCAAGCTGCAGTTGTGAGCAGCGCATCCGGAGTCTCAGGAAGTCTTAGGAGGGGCCCTCTTCCTGCAGACCCCAGCAGGGCCAGCGCTCACCTCTCATGCCCCAGTTGACGGCGTTCATGCTGTCGTAGTGGAAGAGGTCTGCGCTGGGTGTCTGCAGGGGACAGAGAGGCAGGACTGGCCTGAGATAAGCTGGCCTCTGCCTCCCTGAGGCACTCACCCATCTCCAGAAAGTAGACCAGGGCTGTAGGAACAGGGGCCCTTTCTGAAGCCCCCATTTCATGTTAAGGAGATTTAACTTACTGCTAGTTCACTAGTCCCTGCCCATAATAGGAATACACCCACTGATTTGGTAAATTTCATTTCCTGCTTTCTTTCATTGCCCACACACCCCTCTTCCTATCAGAGCTGCCCTGACAATCCTACTGCAAGTGCATGTTGTCCCCACCACAAACTCTTAGGCCTCTTCTTCCTGCTCATCTTTTTTCTTTTTCACATCACTAACTTCTCACATTCTGTATGTGTGAACTTGTTGGCTACTTACAATGTGCTTTACATTTATCTCAACTAGAATATAAGCTCCAAAGGGCAGGGATCTTTTGTCTGTTTTGGTCACTGATACATTCCAAGCATTCAGAGTTACACCTGACATGTAGTAAAGGCTTCCACTAAGTATCTGCTGAATGAATGAATGTGTGAGCTCTTAGCACATGGAGGCTAGGGTCCTCAGTGGGCAGGGGCTGCTGATACCAGTGTGCCCTGAAATAGTCTGAGTCCATCTTCAGCTTCTACTGTTGTTGCTCTGGAGTCTCTGCTCCACTCAACAGCTGGAGGCGTCGCACTGAAACTCTGAGTTGGATCATGCTGCACACCTACCAGAAACCCTCTGAAGTCATTACACTGTGTGCAAGGCCCTAATAACATTGCTGTGTGGCTTCATGGCCTTGTTTGCTCCATCCTGGGCTTGTTGGCTCAGACCCACTGCATACTCCCTGCTAAGGAACTAGCTCTTTCCTCCATCTGCATGGATAGTGCAGACCTTCAAGTACCCATGGGGAAGTCCCTCCTTGCACTCAGGTTTTTGTTTAAATTCTCTCTTCTTTGACTTCTCTGACATGTTTTTTTTCCTTTTCGAGCCCGTCACAGGCTGTCAAAGAGCTCAGGAGACTGCAAGCCATGTAAAAAGCCACTTGAGGATGGCAGTTGGTGTAGGCAGTGAGGTCAGGGGCCTGAGCTCAAATCCTGGCTCTACCACTTACTAGGTATTAGAGCTTGCAGAAGGTACCTACTTTCTCCATGCTTACATTCCTTCATCCACAAAATAGGGGTGATGGTAGTAATTACATCCCTGATTTGTGAAGATTAAAAGGGTTAGTGCTTGGAAAGTGCTTAGTTGAGTGCCTGGCACATGATTATTGCCCAAGAAGTATTTGTTTTCTCACCTTTCCCCTGGGAGCCCCTTTTCACACAGGGGTTGTAAGGGAGAGGACAGTCATTGTCATCAGGCTTTTCCAGTCCAACCATCTCCACTCCCAGGGTTTCACCTATCGGCCATCACCAGCACGGCTAATGCTGGGCTTGCTGGCATCTGGGACAATGTCCCCCCTGTGGAGTCCCTCTTACCCTGTGCAGCCCGTTTCTTCTGTAGGCAGGCAGGGAGGCAGATTTGGAGATGAGGGGATCTGAAAAGGAGAAGAGTAGTTACCAGGAGTCCTAAGCCAGGGGGCCTTTTCCCCAAGGTGACCTGGCTACATGTGGCCCTATGACTCCCCACCCGATGCGCAAGGGGCAGAACTTGGGGCAGCCGGCCTTTCCTGCTTTGCTCCAGATCTGCAGCTTGCCTGCCTCACCTAGGCAGAATGCCAGGCCCAACAGAGGCACTTGCTGCGCTCTCCTCTGGCCGTAACCTCGTACATATCTGTTCTATGATAGACCCTGGTGTCCTGGTCATAGGAGGCTCTGGCAGACAGGCAGGTGGGGGAGGCCTGTGCTCTTATTCTTTTGGAGCTGCTGTGTGTGGTAACACTGTTTTCAGAGCCCCAGACCGAGGCCCGTAATCTGATCAATACAATGGAGCGGACTGTTTGAGATCAGGACTATGCTGGGATACCCACAACATAGAGTCACCAGAGCTATGGGGGAAGTGCAGCCCACTCAGCTCTGGCCCTCATAGAACATGATGGGCTGAAGGCAGGGCAGGTCAAACATACCGCTGTCAGCCAGGTAGTGTGACCGAGGGGCTGCAAGAGAGAAATCCAGAGGTCAGTGTTCCGGCGGATGGACAGGGAGGAGACATGGCTGCCATGCCCAACCACCCTGGCTGGTGGAGAGGAGGCCCTCTTTGGCATCTCCTTTCCTATTGGCCAATTTCCATCCTTGCTTCCCTGCCAGGTCCTATAACATGGCATCAGGTGCAAAGCATATATTGTCATATTGGTTGCATAGATGTGGCTAAATGGAGTTGAATTCTGAGTAGTATTGATGCTATAGAGGGTGCCTCAGGTGTTGAAAATAAGTGCCCCTCAGTGGTCAGACAGGGAAACATCTGTTCATCCCAGCTTGGCCTTTAGCAGGTACCTAGCCTCATCCAAATTACTTAACTATGCTTTGGTTTTTTCATCTGTAAAATGGGGAGTGATAGCATCTCCATTATGGGTTTTTGGGAAGCATGTATGATATAATACAGTGAGGTATTTAGCATAGTGCATGACACATACGTAACACTCCATAAAAATGGCTTTACCACTACCACCTTCAATGTTGCTGAGAGTGAAGGCAAAGTATGGTGAAGTATCAGATTCAGGTCTGATACTGTGCCAGTCACTTACTGGCTTTCTGAGCTTGAGTAAGTAGCTTAATCTCAGTTCTCTCATTTATAAAGTGGTGACAATAATCCCCACACATTGCATGTCTTTGTGAGGACCAGGAGTGGTAACATATCTATAAAGGTTTGGCACAGAGGAGTATAGGAACTGATTATTTTTATTATCCATCAAAGATTGATCTGAAATGAGACTTCTAGGTAGAGATGGGAGGCTCACTACACCAGGGAGCAGTCCCCTGTGTCTTTGAGCCATGCTGACCACCAGAAGATATTCTTCTTTACAGTTAACCTGGTTGGAAGACATGGCTTCAGATGGCTCAATGAACCAAGAGGGTCTGGCCCCTGGCCAACTCTGTATTTTAGACCCAGTGGGGCTCCCTTCTGCGAGATGGTAGGTCTGGAATAACCTTCCTTGTCAGCCTCTCTCAATTCTTTTGTCAACCCAAAAGATTGAGTTTCAGGCTGGTTATGTTCTAATAGAACTTTATTTATAAAATCTGGCAGGGAACTGGAGCCAGTGAGCTTCACCACTTAGAATCCAAGGGATCTTGGGTAAGTTCCTGAAGCTTTTGTGATTTAGTTCCCCATCTGTGAGCTGTGAAGTGAAAATAGCACCACTGCCCAGGGCTGCTGTATCGAAGAAAATGCAGTTGTGTATGTGTGTTGTGCCCACCCCCACCCTCCACCAGTGTGCCAGGCTCAAAGAGAATGTGCCACAAATGTCTGCTGGGCCTGCAGAGCAGTGCTTACAACCATTGAGGGACATGTCATAGCCAGCTGTGTGTAGGGCCTCCCGGCTGCTGGTGGAGCTCCGGGGAGGGGTCCAGGGATCGGCATAGGAGCTTGACCGGGCCTTCATCTCCTCCTTCAGAATCAGCCGGCCGATTCCACTCTGGAGCTAGGGGTTGGGGATGAGCAAGATGAAGTTATAAGGCAGTAAAGGACTTTGAGATGGGCCTAGCTCGGGCAAGGCTGAGTGAACAGACCCTCTCCAGTAAGCTTCCGTCATTTCTGCCTTCCCAGCATCCCTCCTTCTATGTCACTTCCGTATTTTCCTTTGGGACATCATCTCTGTCTCACAGGCAGGGTTGAGATCTGGGTAGGGCTCTGGTTGTAGGTGGACACAGTTTTAAAAGCAAGCTAGCCAGTGACAGAATCACATTGTCCTGGCCACATGATTGGTTAAATGTTGGGCAGACTGCCACCTTTTTGAAAATAAGTTGATGTGAAAATCACATAATTTAAAATGAACCATTTTAAACAATTCAGTGGCATTTAGTACATTCATAGTGTTATACTATCACCACGTCTGTCTAGTTCCAAAATGTCCTTGTTATCCCAAAGGAAGGCCCTGTATCCATTAAGCAGTCATTCCCCATTCCTGTCTGCCCCAACCCCAAGAAACCACCATTCTACAGTCTCTGGACTTAACTATTCTGAATATTTCATGTAAATGAAAACAAAATACATGGGGGACTTTTGTGTGTGGCTTCTTTCACTAAGTGTCATATTTTTGTGATTCATGTACTTGGTAGCAAGTGTCTACTTTATTCCTTTTCCCATCCCATTGCATGGGTATGCCACAATTTATTTATGCAGTCAGTAGTTGAGAGGCATTTGAGTTCTTCCCACCTTAGACTATTGTGACTTATGGTGCTGTGAACACGCATGTCCATGTATGTGTTTGAGTTTTTGTCTTCAGTTCTTATGGGCATATATCTAGGAGTGGAGTGGCTGGGTTGCTGGGTAGTCCTGTGTTTAGCTTTTTGAAGAAAAGCCAAACTTTTTTTTTTTTTTTTTTCACAGTAGCTGCACCATTTACATTCCTCCAGCAGGGTTTCTGGCACCTGCTTACCACTGTAGGAAAAGCACCTGAGCAGGAAGCCCGTCAGAGGCCAGTGGTACAAGCAGACAGACTACTTCCTGATGGTGTTTTTTGGGAGCAGCTGAATCTATTCATACCTGAAGTGAATCCTGTCACTTGACTTTGCAGATGTGCAAAACTCTGCACTGGATGGGGTTCTGTCACTCGCAAATGAAAAAGTCCCCAGTGATACACCTCTGGAGCATGTTGTTCAGTTGTGCGGCCCACTCACCTTGTGCATGCTGCGCTCAAAATCATCCTCCTCTCCTCCAGATGAGAACCTTCTGGCCCGGGGCACTGCCAAAGGACAGACGGGATCAGCTCCGGCACATGCACCCCCTCACCTGCACTGACTGTGGTCATTCGGATTTGGTTTTCCTTTCTTTGTGGTGATGGTGGCAGTCTCGTTTTAAGGTCCCCCACCTGCAGGCTCTCCCACCTTTGCAGCCTTGGAACACAACTGTCTCCCATGCGTGCTGACCATGTCCACTCCCGGTGACTGCTGTGTTTGTGTCTCATCTCTTCTTCTAACTGGTAAGAGGGCGATGAAGCACTCAACTCCGAGTGCCCGTGAAGATTTCCTCAGAATGGACATTCAGTTGTTAAGGCGTGTGTTGAGTCAAGGTGGATCTTGATGGAAATTCCTCTCTCTACTTGAGGGAACAGCTTGGACAGTCTAACTAGGTCAGGTGGCGCCCTGAGGATCATTAAGACCTCTTTCCAGGGTGCCTTCCATCGCCCCATATCCTCTCTTTCCCTCCTCCAAGCCATTTTTCATCCTACTGTCAAAGTGGTCTCCCAAAAGTACAAATGTGGCCATGTCGTTATTTCAGTGGCTTCTTACTGGTGAGGATAAGAACCTAAATCCTTACCTCACCCACAGGCCCCACGGGACCTCCTCCCTCACCCCGCCCCCCTCCCTCTCTGAGCTCAAGCCGAGCTGCAGCCTTGCCTTTCCTCCAGTGGCACCTCCCTCCCATCTTGTGTAACTGCAGCTGTGTTTCTGCACTCTCTGCTGCCCACATCCTTGCCACTCCTCTGTGACAGCTGAGTCTCTGCATCTGAGCAGCTTTTGTCATCTTTCAGCTGGATGACGTGCCCCTGCCATCAGCTCTCCTACCCTTGTGCATCACCTCTGGTGTAGCCTCTCCCTCTCATGGTTGGGACCTATGCCTCCTCCACTAGGGCAGGGACTTGGTCTAATTTGCTCCCCCTGTATCCTGAGGGCTCCTTAATCCATGCTGCTGAAAGAACACCCTCAATTATACAGCCTCTAAGGATCTTATGCAGAATGATCATGGAAAGAAGTGCATGGCTGTCCTGACCTCTGAGTGACATGAGCTCAGGCCCCAGGGGCCCACGGGGACACTACCTTTGGGAGACCCATGATAGGTCCAGTACTCAGACTCTGTGGCATAGTAGGGGTCTGGTGAGTATGCTGGACTGTACTTGGAGGCTTGGCTGATGTCTTCACTTGTTTTGCTCTTGGTTGCTGTAGACAGATCACCTGCAAAGGACCCAAGGAGAGCACTTTCAGGAAGGCCTGAGTGTCCCTGCCAGGGAAGTGTGCCCTTTTCCTGGTCTCTGCCAGGCTCCAGCCTAGAGGGATGAGGCCACTTTGAAATCAGGGATTTCTGGGAGGAGGGTCTGGGACATGGAGTATTGAACTGGAAAAGCACTTGGGCCAGCTCCTGACTTTGCACTTGGGAATTTGGGGCCCAGAGAGGAGAAGAGGCCATCCAACAAATTTGTGCCAGAACTGGGCAGGACCCCAGCCAGGGCTCCTTCCAGCCTATTCCATGGACTTCTAGGTCTGTTCCTGAGTGAACGCTGAGGCTGTGTCTCCTCAAAGTAAGACTCGGCAGATCTCACGCAAGCCCCTGACCTCTCTAGTCCTGTAGAAGCCTGCCTTGTTATGGTTTTGAGCCACACTGAGGTGGGAGTCACCAGGAAGAGCTATGGTGCTATGATGCATGCCAAGTCAGGTCAACCTTCTCTCTGCATCCTGAAAAGCTACATCATTTCTGGGAAGCCTACAGGACCCAAAGGAAGGAGCATTGAACAGCAAGTCAGCAAAGGGGTTCTGCTTCTAGCTCTGCCACTTAACTCAGTCATAACACTGGGCAAATCATGCCCATCTCTGCCTCAGTTTTCTCATCTATAAGTATCAGAATTGGTCTGCTGGCTCAGGTACAATGCAGCTTTAAGCTTCCACCTGAAGTAAGTCTGTGGCGGTGGGTGACCAATAATGCTGCCGCAGGCACAGATACCTACAGAGCAGTGACTTTAGAGTGACCTGAGGACTGGTGGCAGCTGATAGGGCAGGAATGGGGATGCTGAAGAGGTGAGCATGCCCCTGCCAGCATTTTTCAGAGACAGCTAGAGAGAAATCCTAGGACAAGCTATGAGCTCTGCAAAAGCAGCAGAGGGCTTGGGATCTTTGGCCTTGAGCCAGCCACAGGCTATGCACTTTGCTTCCAGAGCTTTTGAATCCTCCTATTTGACTTGGGTCCTGGGTAGTCTCTCTTGCGCAGTGACAATCTGGCCATTTCATGTGCCCTCTTGTCTATGCAGCCCACCTCCTCTTAGACTCTTTCTGGTTCTGTCTGCTTTGGTGTAGCCTCTCAGAGCCCAGCTGGAAAATACCATGAAGGGATGAGATGCTTGGACTAGGGGCCTTTTCTGGATATAAAGCCACACTACCTGTATCAGGGCTGATACCGCCCTGTGGTCACTCAGTGGCATGTGGATGACTGCTCAGTTCCTTCTGAGACCAAGAATGTTTGCCTTAAGTGTAGGGTCACCAGCACACAGAGCCACTACACCTCTTGTGCTGCTCCTTCCACCACCTGGTTGGTTCAGCTCGTGGTACAGGACTGCTTATTCTGTGTTCCCCTCTGATATTCAATTTGACCCAGTATCAAAGCTGAACAGGTGACTGCTGCTCCTCTGTGCCCTCGAAAGGAGGGACGGGTGAATTCAACCGAGGCTCAATAAATGCTTCTTTTAAAAATGAGCAGGTGGGGGCCAGTGCTGTGGTGCAGCAGGTTAACGCCCTGGCCATAAGTGCTGGCATCCCATATAGGCATCAGTTCTAGTCCCGACAGCTCCTCTTCTGATCCAGCTCTCTGCTATGGCCTGGGAAAGCAGTAGAAGATGACCCAAGTCCTTGGGCCCCTGCGCCTGCATGGGAGACCCCGAAGAAGCTCCTGGCTCCTAGCTTCAGATAGGTGCAGCTCCGGCCGTTGTGGCTGTCTGGGGCAGTGAACCAGCGATGGAAGACCTCTATCTCTGTCTCTATCTCTCTCTGTAACTCTGTATTTCAAATAAACAAAATAAATCTTTAAAAAAAATGAGCAGGTGGTCTCAGTGATGAAGGACTTGGTGGTTCTCATAGTGAGTACAGGTGGGCATCATGGATGAAGCCAGGGAGAGTGCAGATTCTTGGGCCACATGCTCAGTATCTCTAATCAAGGAAGTCTGGGGGCAGAGAGGAGCAGGGAATATGCCCCCTTAACATGTCTCCTAGGTGCAGAAGGTCCATAGACCCTTCTTTCAGAAACACTCACTGAACAAAAAATGAAAGAATGGGGGCTGGCACTGTAGCATAGCAGGTAAAGCCATTGCCTGCAGTGCTGGCATGTTATATGGGCACCAGTTTGAGTCCTGGCTGCTCCACTTCTGATCCAGCTCTCTGCTATGGCCTGAGAAAGCAGTAGAAGATGGGCCAAGTCCTTGGGCCCCTGCACCTGCGTGTGAGACCCAGAAGAAGCTTCTGGCTCCTGGCTTCTGATTGGCCCAGCTTTGGCTGTTGCAGCCATTTGAGGAGTATTCTAGCAGATATAATTCTCTCTCTCTCTCTCTCTCTCTCTCTGCTTCTGCCTCTCTGTAACTCTGCCTTTCAAATAAATACCTCTTTAAAAAATATGAAAGAATGACAGGGACTCCCTGCTTCCTTCTCATTTACACCCCTCTCCAAGTCTCTGTACGCTCTCAGAAGACAGTGACTTCAGTAGCTTAGAGTAATGGGTCCAGGATGGGCTGGGCATCAGGGCCACTCAGGGAAACCGTTACAAATACAAAACCCCAATTCCAAAAGTCTGGAATTCCAGGAGTCTGTATGCATCTCATGTGATTCTAATGAACATTTTTGGGTATCAGTGACTTGGGTGATTCTCCTAGAGGTATGTGCATTTGACAAGGACTTCTCTGATCATGGGACTCAGGACACCAGACAGCAGCTAAGAGACGGGGTTGGGGATGTGATGGGAAAGGATGGGGTCCTTCTCGAACTTTTGAAATGACACTGAGCTCCTCCCCTTGCATCACCCAGAGTGACTAGGGCACAGGCAACAAGAAGGATCAAGTTGTGTCTTTGAATTGTGTTGCTCTTGGAGGCCTAGGGAGAGCCACCTGCACAGGTGGTTGACTGCACCCCACTCCCACCTGGCCTGGCCAAGCTCTTTCTGCCTCTCAACCATACCATGCCGTTTGTAGATCGGGGGTTTCCGGTAGATGTTACTTTCTCCAGCTGCTAGAAAGACCAGGAAGGAATAGTGGGGGGGGGGGGGGAAGAAAGGAGACAGTACTTGGTCAGTTGGTCTCAGAAGAGAGAGATGGTCAGCCACTTTTGCCACAGGGCCACCGATGTTCCCCTGGTGGACTTCCTCTTCCCAAGTTGAACTTCCAGCCTCACCCCAACAGGTTCCAGGTCAGAAGGAAGAGGGGAATGAATGGATATGAATGGTACTGAGGAGGGTATATGGGGTGTGTGGTGGGCATGCAGGCATAGGTGGGTGCGTGCTCAGCAGATCCCCATGCAAGATGGTGTCCACTGCCCCTGCATGGTGGCACACCTCAATCCATGTAGAAGCCCCCTGGACGCTGCAGCCAGGTGTCAGCATTATCTCTGCCCCCTCCCTCCCAAACAGAAGGGATAGGACCCCTCTGGGGCAGTTGAGGAAGGTTTAGATGAAATGGCAAGACACGTTCTTGGGAAGAAAGTGAGTGTGGACTGAAAAATTCAGCTCAGGGTCAGGGACACAGTCCCAGGCCTGGCTGTGTTGCAGCTCAGGATGGGACTTCATGCAAAACGCACCTTGCTGGTCATCCAGGCCTTGCCTTCCTCTGATCTCTGATCACTCTTGCCATTCCCTCTGCCCACAGGCTTTCCCTTGGGGTTTTCACAGGGCTGCCTCCTTCTTATCTTTTAGCTTTAATGTCCCTTTTCTAGGAAGCCTCTCCAGGCCACTCCATCTAACCCTGAGCTCCCTTGTCAATGTCTCATGATTTCCCTCCCTTTAATGCATAAAGCATCCATTGTTAGCTGTCAATACCCTTCACCTGTTTGTTTACCCATTTCTCATCCCACTCCCCACATCAGAACACCCATACCATGAAGGCAGGATCTGAGCTAGAAAGAGCATGGCAATATCTTTAGGTCACAGAGTGCCTGGCTGGACAGCTGGGACAACTGAGGCCTAGGGAAGCCATGTAACTGGCCCCAGATCAGGATCTTCTAAGTAGCAGAGCTGAGATGTAAGAGTCCATGGCCCAGAGGGCCAGGATTGTGGTGCAGCAGGTTAAGCTGCCAGCTGTGACACTAGCATCCCATATTGGAGCACTGGTTCAAGTCCTGACTGCTTAGCTCCTGATCCAGGTCCCTGCTAGTGTTCCTGGAAAGGCAGCAGAAGATGACCCAAGTACTGGGACCCCTGCTACCCATGTGGGAGACTCAGACAGAGTTCCTGGCTCTGACTTTGGGCTCTCCCAGCCCTGGCCATTGTGGCTGTTTTGGGGAATGAACCAGTGCATGGAAGATCTCTGTATCCTTCTCTGTCTCTCCATCTCTCTGTCACTGTGCTTTTCAAATAAAAAAATAAATAAATAAATCTTTAAGAAAGCCTGAGGCCTTCCCCACCTCGTGTTACCACTGCACCCTATCAAGACTTTCAGGCCTTCAGGCATTTCCTGCTACCTCCTGCTTCTTCCTGTGGCTGCTTCTCTGTGGTCCTGTTTAAGGCTGGTCTATCACAGGGGGTGGGCTGGAGCCTGTGGGCAAGTCAGGCCTGGAGGGTGGGGTTAGTTCAGGAGGCTGGTTAGGGAGTCCCCCAGGAACCGGTTTCTCCTTGGCTCCTGGGCAGTGTGGAGTGGGTGGCTCAGGTGCCCAGCCACCCCGCGGAGCATGCACCCATGCCAGCACTGCCAGGCTGGCGGCGCCTACCTGGGATGTGAAAGTGCTTGGGAGGCTGGTGAGAAGAGGTCGGAGTGGAGGACCTCACATCTAACTGGCTATGGTATGGAGAGCTCCGGCCACTCTCGGGCCCTGGAGCACGCAGGCAGTGGTCCCCAGAGAGAACAGAGGCACAGAGAGAACAGGCATTAACGCAGTGCAGTTAGGGAAGCAGTGAGGTGATGGCAGCAGGGATGGGTGTGGGGCTGGTGCCTGGCGTGCTCAGGCTCTGGTGCTGGAAGCAGCATGTGCTCTCATGCACTGCATTAGCAGCAACAAGCTTAGCCTTGTGTCCTGCCAGACCCAAAGTCAGATTTTGGGGGTCAGTTCTACAAGTTTGAGAAGATGGCTTTGTCCCCTCTGCTCCTTGTCGCTCACTGTCCAGGGCCTTTCCTGATGGCCCCTTTCCTCCACCCAAACACCAGCTGAACCCCCCTAACTCAGGGTAGTGGTGGACACCTGGACTGTATGGGCTGGGCCCTTGGGTGAAGGACAGTATACAACCGTTTTTGGCCTCCAACTTCTACCCTTTATGTGGGACAGTCCAAAGTGTGAGGATGGGGGTCTTCTTCCAGCCAGAGCCACTGGGCTACTTGCCAGTCCCCTCCCCTGGCAGCCCCCACCCAGCCTCCAGCTGCTTCTTGATATAACTCTCCTTCCCTTCTCCCTGCCAGGGATACCCCAGAGACTGGGGAGGCCTGGTCAGTGACCCATGAAGGAAGGATCCTGAAGAGGCCTTGTGCTGTTACCACAGGGACACCAAGTCACTGCACTGCCCCTCCCTGTGCCCACGCTCTTTCCCTCCCTCCCGGGCTTCCCCTTCCTTACCAGAGCGGTAGTAGTGGTGGGGGGAGCGGGAGAAGGTGGGGGACATGCCCTGCCGGCTGTAGGTAGGGGAGTCGATGTATCCTGGGCTGGAGGCCCGTCTCTGCCGGAGGTCCAGGTTCTCGTAGATGTCCTGGGGGAGGAGGTGGGGCTGTGAGCTGGGCGTGGGGTCCAAGGACCTAGTGGGAAGTCTAAGGTTGAGGCACAAACACAGAGACCCCCCTCCCTGAGTTGCATGCATAGCCTGAGGAAGGTGGTGGAGGTTTTTCAGAGCCTTGACCTACTACTCATTGGCCCTTGTATGGAACCCATGGGTCAGTTCCTGGAATCCTGATCGGGAATCAGGAGCATGAGAGAGGTCATTTCTGGTAGGAAAGGGCACATGAGTTCTCCCCCACTGTTCACATCTTTTATGCACCTGCTGTTTCTTGTGAAACAGGAAGTCTTGGTCTTGACCCGGGCTGGGGGAAGCAACTGGGAGAAGGCTCTGGCCGCTTGGGGTGCTGGGGAGGGGTAAGGTCAGGGGTCTTATTGGTTGGCATCAAGGGGCACAATGATATAAAATGTCTCCTCCACCTCCTTTATATCAACTTAGTTACCTGAGAGTAGGGAGATAAGGTTCCCAGCGACTTAGAGGTGAAGAGTTTGAAGGCGCCATGGAAGGAGCAAAGGGAGAGAGAGAAGGGCAAGAGGAAGGGACAGAGTATGGTTAAATGGTTCAGCAGAGAGAGGGACTTCAGCTGCCCCTTGGGACCCCACTCCAGAACACAGCGTCCCTGAGAAGTACACAATGTCACAGCTGCTAAAAGGAGGTAGGAGCCCTTGAGATTATGCCCTCCTTTCATGCGTGTGAAAACCAGGGCCCAGGGAGGGAATGTGAATCTTGGGGCTGCTCAGGGCTCTGTGGGAGGAAGCGGCAGGGTTTGGAATGCCTTCCCCGCCTTAACCAGCTTCTTATCCAAGACAAGTCAGCTGTGAAGATTCTCATGTGAAATCTCTCCATGTTTATACATGGTAGCCATTAATCTACATCATTTAAGAGACACTTTGGGAGTGAAACAAAACATCTGGGGACTGCCGGGACCTGTGGATCTTGCTTTGTTATCTCAAACTTCAGGACAATCAGCTTCTACCAAACACTTGACCCCTGTTGCCTGATCTATTCCAGGTACCAGAACTCAGAGAACTTTAGCATTGACCTTTTCAGCCAAATGCAACCCCAATCCCTTTAATGAGGACTTGCCTGAGGTTAGAGGCTAACTGTGGTAGAGCCAGGATAGGAGCCTGGGTCCCTACCCAGCAGGCCAGGGTTCCTTCTGCTTCCAACTAACTCATCTCAGGGGTCTGGGATGCGGCAGGAATCTCCTGGGATATAGATGGTGAGGATCTCCTAAGTAATGACCACCCTGCTTTCTCCAGAGAATGCTTGCTCTTGTTTAGTAACCATTTAATGATGTCAAAAGCCATCTGATGCTGAGTCTTTATCAAAGTGGTTTGCTCTGAGCCCAGGAGCTTAAGGCCAGGTGGTGCAAACTCCAGAGAACATGTCTAATGGGGGAGTATAAACCTAGATGGCTAGTGAGGCTGGCAGGGGAGGAATCTGAGGAAAAAATCTCCACTGTGAAAAAGGCAACAGCTCAAGCAGTGAGTGGCCACAGGCTCCCAGCTTCCACGCTGGAATTAACAGGGAGTTGTGGGGCCTGGGGAGAATGAGGAGCCCACATCCTGTCTATAGGGGGCGCTGCTGCCCACCTCCAGATTGTGAAAATGCAGATGTAATGTGGCTGGCTCTGATTTTTTTCAAGAAAAGCCAGAAAGCTAGATTTTTGGATGTAATCTCTTGATTTATAAATGCTGGTTATAAATTCCAGTTTAAAAGAGTCTTGGGGCCAACACCGAGGTGGTCAAGCTGTGATGGAATGCTGTGGGGAACCCCAGTGGAACCTCTTCTCTTGCAACAGCCCTAGAGAGAAGGGCAAGACCCGATACCTCTCCATAGCCACATCTCTCCAGCATCTCGTCGGACGTGTATCGGGAATGAGGCTCGTAGGAAATGAGGTCGGGGCGTTGCACCTCGTAGATGGATTTAACCTTGGGGAGAGCTGCCAGGTCTTTGTAATTAAGGATCTCATTATCCACTTTAGCCTGAGGAAGAGGGAAAAGGACAGGAAAGAAGTAGAAAGATAAGAGGGAAAAGAGAGAGGAAGCAAAAACAAGGTACAGGAGGAACAAGCTTCTCTAGTTTCTACTAAAAAATGTTTAGGATCAAATTGAAGAACTGTAGAATGCTGGAATCAGAATGGGCTCAGAGGCTATCCATTTCAACAGGACTGTCCTTTATGGAGCACATACTGTTTGTTTTACAGGAATTATCATCTCCAAATATCGTGTTATGTGTGGCAGTATTATTCCTGTTTTCCAGATGAGGAAACTGAGGCTTAAACTTGCATCCATAGCTTGCGTCACTTAACTAATAAGTTTGAGTCCAGTCTGAACTACACAGCCTGGGTACCGACTGCTTCCATCCCCACACTGAGGACTCTCCTATTCACAGCGCCTTGGAGGATGAAAATGGTCTTTTCTACATCCACATCCTGCAGTTCTTCGCTCTGTGACCTGTGGTCAACCAGGATCTGTCTCTCCTATAGCTACTGTGGTTTGCAAGGTCCTGGGGTGGGCTCAGTTACGACAGAATCCACTAGATAGGGAATCTGAGGAGACTGAGGGTACTTCAAAAAGATTGTGGAAAATAGAATTAAAAGATATGTTTATTTTGGTGCAGAAATTTTTGAAATTCAGTAGAGGGATTTTTAAAAGTTCATGGAAAATATATGTTATGAAAAAGCTATGAATGGATTTCACAATCTTTTTTGCACCAAAATAAATGTATCTTTTAATTCCATTTTCCACAAACTTTTTGAAGTAGTCACCTGTTATCCTCATAATGTTTTCCCAAGACCCAGGGTCAAGGTTCTTTGAGAGAGCAACATTTAAAAATACCTTAAAACTTCACTATTAAAAATAACTTCCCAAGCCTTTTCACTATTCTATCATTGTCCCATCCCATTGCTTTTGAACACCTGCCCCTGCACTGCAGACACTCAGGGCTGCACCTGTCACTGGGGGCCCCAGGGAGGGGCAGCCACAACACTGTTCTGAAACCTTTCCAGGGGACCCCCAGGCACAACCCCAGTTTGCAGTGGGCATTGTATCCTGTTCTGGCTGAGCCTGTCCTGGGGCTCCTGACGCCTGGTACCCCCTCTCCTGGGTTCTCTCCCATCAGATCTGAGTCAGGCAGCCCTCATGGAAGAGACCTATCACTCCCAGAGGCTCAGGCAAGGACTTCAGGCTTCCTGTGCCAAAGCCAGGAAGGGCAGGGGGTGAAGGCTTAGTGCCACACCCTGACTGAGAGCTGCCCCTATCCTCTGCATGCCTGGGCTGGGGCTGGTGCCTGCACACAGGCCTCAGCAGACAGTGAGAGCCCAGGAGGCACCTGTGGCTCCCCCATCTTTCCCCCTGCAGTCCACTCTCAGCCTAAAATGACATCAGCCTGTTCACTGAGTGAGCCACTCTCTCCATCGCCCTGCCCAAGCTGCCCCCACAGGGGCCCTGATTTCTCAGGTGCCAAGTGGAGGCAGGTCAGGGTGGGGGGCTGTCTGCCTGGGCCCTAGGACAGGTGTCCCTTTTCTACTAGAAGGCAAATGAGTTTTATCACCTTTTATAAATCACTGTTGAAGCAATAAACCTTTGTAGAAATTGAAAAAAATTGCCCCTAAATCCACTGTCTACCCTTTCTTGGTTATTCTGTGCCCTGAGCCACCCCTGGCCTGTATCACAGCCTCTCCTCTGGGTTTTCAGTGGGTTTGGCTAGTGGGAGGCACCAGCAGAGACTGGAGAGTGAATGGGGTGGCTGACCAACTTCTTCTCCTTGAAGCCTTCTTGCCTGGCTTGGGTTGGGCATGACTCCTGTCTGGTAGCTGCTCCTCTACACCTCCAGCTCTTGTCAGTTCCGGAAATGCCGTTCCCTCTCCTGCCTCTTTAGACTTGCACAGGTAACAGTGTTCATTATTGCAGCCCTTAGGCGACTCTGACCTCCTGTGGATTCCCTTAGACCTATCCATACCTCTGTAAATGGTCCCTTTACTCAACCCTCCCCTAGTTGAATGCTTTGAAGTGTGACTTCTGGTTTCTGCCAGAGGTGGCCTGTACAGACACAGTTTTGGGGTATGTAGGTGAAGAAACCTTATTAGGACAGTCTACTTAAGTACTGACTTTCCTTCTGGGATGTTGGATCTTGTCCTTCAGAGCTCCTGGCACCTTACAAACTCATCTTGACCCATAATTATTCATATTGACACTTTACTCCATTCTCAGAAATACTAAGTTTCTATTTCTTCCATAGCCACCTTGTTTAAAGGGCTGCAAAATAGCCTTGGATCTGGAGGTACACTTACTGCTCAGAGGCATCCTAACATAACTAGCTAGGGTGGAAGCATGAAAACATGTGGAGTTTATTGAAACTGAAACATCTGAAGATGATTCTAGAAGCCAGTGGGAGATGGAGCAACGTTTGAAAGAACCTGCTTGCTCCAGGTTAACTAGTAATTCTATTTTAATACCAAATATCTAGTGTCTGTGAAAATTAAACCAATAACCTGTTATGGCATATTACCAAAGCAAACAGGTAGATTTTTTTTTTTTGCCAAACTTAGAAGCTGTGTTTGGAATGGTCTGATTAATGGAGAGCTGATTTGTTGTGTACAGCACTCCCTAGAGCAGCTGCATGTGAGGCTCCATAAAGGAGAGAGAAAGAGGGTGGAAGAAGAGACCCATGCCTGTGCTAGGGTGCAGGAGCAACTGATCTCAACGCTTAAGTTCCTGTTGGAAGGGCCAGGTGCGGGTGCCCATAAGTGCCACTGTTCAATTTGCACAGGCACAACTCTACAAGGTTTTCTCTAGGACTCCACGACCTAACTTATTTCACAAAGATTAGCCCATGGAGAAGAGCTAGTGATTGATGGTATCTTAGTGCAGCAGCTCCTTGAACTCTTATAGTCCAATAACTCTTGGTGTGAGACACGCTCACATTTGTCAATGACCTTCTCACAGAGCAAGCCTTGCAACTAAGCACATGAATCCTGTGGTCTGGCTCCATTCATAGGACCAGTGACACTATCTTCTTTCTCTGGTTCTGGACAGGAATCGTCAATGAGTAAAGCCTGTGATCAAAGTAGCTTGTCCTCTGGGACAGGCACATAGTTGTATCGACCCACACTGAGGCTGAAACCAATGATAATTCTGATTTTTTTTTTCTCTTCATGTGACAAGAGGAAGAAAGGAAAGGAGACAGTCTCATCAATGAACATTTTTCGGGGATCACAGATGAAACTGGATATGGATTTGCAGTAATGATCTAGCAGTGGTGGTCAAGGCCCACAAAGGGCTGGCTGGCATGGGGCCTGTATGTAGACATTTTTATTAAAAAGAGTGTTCTCCTACTATTGACTGTTTCCCCCTCTTTTCTCGTCTGCACCTTTGACTTGTGGAAGGCTGGAGCAGCCCAGAATTAATCACTTTGATGTTGGCTGCTCATTTTGGTCATCCCTGGCTCTAGCTCCCTTGCCTCATTTAGCTGAGCATTGTTTATTCCTCAGCTTTGAGCTCGAATAGTTCTTCCTAGGAATGCTTTCTCCTAGCCAGTCCTGCAGTGTCAGGTCCCTCTGCTCATCTGTACCATCAGCAGCGAGCCCTGTGCTTTTTTGCTCTGACATTCATCAGAATTGCAGCTGATGATATGGGGTACTGTGTTTTCAATGTTCTAAGCCCAGGCATCAGGTCTGTGTTGCTCACCGCCATCTCCATGGTGCAGAACACAGTGCCTAGCACAGTGTGGATGCTCAGCATATGTTAGTTGAATGAATGAATGAATTACATGTAAAAAGGACCTCAGAGGTCATCCAGCTCAACCTTTGTCCCTTTTGCCACATCTCTGACAAATGGTGAGTCTATCTATGTTTGAAGGCCCCAGACATGGGGGCTCAGACCCAAGTGGGTGGTCTGCCCCATCCCTGGACTTATCCCATGATGAGAAAGCTTTTCTTTATGTTTTAAAATCTCTTATGGCCATGTTTCCATATGCATATGGCTTCTTTCTCCTTTTTGCCTCTTTATCACACACTATTACTGCCACAAGGATATTCTACCAAATGCTTGCTCAACCAACCCCCCAGTTTTAAATTTTGCCCCAGCTTTCACGTAAGTCTCAGTTAAGGGATGGGAAAAGGAGGTACCTTGCTTGGTTTCAGAACTCAGCAAAGGCACTTGCTATCATTCTGCCCTCTTTCTTGTGCTCCACAGATCTCTATGTTACCCTTGTATCTCTGGATTTATTTGCCTGTGTGCTTCCTGAGGGCAGGGTCAGTGTACTCCCTATGCCCAACTGTATCCTTGGGACCTGGCACAGAGTCAGGTACCAAATATCAGTTAGATGAAAAACTGACTGCCCTCCCATCCATAGAAACTCTCTAGGTACAAGGACAGGGGTAAGAAAGGCCTTTCAGTGGCAGATGGGGGATACATACGCAGATGACTCGGTTGGGTGACCCGATGCTGGATCCAGGGGGTGAGATGGAAGTTTCCGATGTCCGTCTATGCTGTGGGAGAGATGAAGACAGAAGAGGTGAGAAGCTGTATCCTGGACTAGGTTGGGGGGATTGGGAGAGAGGGGTAGAAGAATTCAGCTTTTCAGAGAACATTAGCAATACTCTGCAAGTCCTCTCTGGATATTGCTGTCCTTTGCCCTATTCTCTGCCTTTTTAATCATCATCAGTGTGTATATGAGACTGAGAATTCTCAGGACTTTAGGATGTTGGAAGGAAAATGTATTTATTTTCTATATATTTACAGCTAGCATTTAAAATAGGAAGTTATTCTTAAAACTTTTCATTTTGGGTTATCACAGCCAACAATGCATTTACTTTATTTATTTTAAGCAAACAAAACTGGTTAGTATTCATTCCTTAGCAGTTTGCTTATTCAAAATGTAAAATCAGGTTAAGCTTCATGTCATTGCACAATATGCTGATTCTTTATGGTATATCCCTTGCAAATTGATACCGTCTTATGTGATAAGCTTAACAAATGTGTCTCTGAACCATGGCATGGATGATGAATGTCTAACATCTTTAGCAGAACAGCATGATGCCAATCTCAGAGTATCTAAGAGAGTGGTGGTAAAAATGCCAATGGATAGGAAATCAAGGACCACTAGAGAAATATGTGATTTGAGGGATCTTGGGTTCCTGGTCTATAAAAGAAAGGGGCTGAGCCTCAGGACTGCATGATTTCCTCTTAGACAGCTCACACTGTATTCCAAATATTCTAACTAGGGCTGTGCAACAATATGTCCCAAACTGTGGATCCCGAGCTAATGGCAGCCTTGGAAAGATGAATTCAAGTAGAACATTTGATAATACCGAGTCATAGAATGAGAGTGAAGTGTAGCATTTTATTTCACCCCTTTTGATTAGATTGAGGGGAAACTCTCAATTTGGCGCTAACGCAATTCAACAACTATGTCAACAATTGCTGATTTCCCCTTTTTTACAAAGACAGTGCAGGCAACATACTAGCTAGAATTTTTGCAAGGTCGTTAAATTAATTCTCAGGGTACCTTATATTTATAGCAAGTATTACTGGTTTATACTTGGTGATACAGTATGTTGTTTTTCAGTATGTTTACATAAATAAAAGGCATAGAGTTGGTTTAAAGACAAAGTATTCAGTATATAGTGACACAGGTTGGTAACACAGATACAGCAAAAAGCATCAGGGATATAAGAATGACTGAAGTTTGGAAATGCCACTAAAGAGGAAGCACTGCCGCAGAAAAGGAAAATTAGGTCTTCTCACATATTTAAGGGGAGAAACCTTGGAAGAAATAGGGAAAAAATTTCGTGGCTCAAAACATTGCTCAGCTTTTTCATAAAATTCACATTGGGTGGATGAGATGGGCAAAGGAGACCCATTTCATTATCTGGTCAGGAAGTGTGCATGTGTGTTTTCACCTGGGTAGGCTCCAGCAGGTAAGAGAGTCCCAAGGAGCCAAGCTGAGATCCAGAAGCAGAGTGTTAGGGCATGTTGGGGATCACAAAGTGCTGTTCTCTCTCAACCCATCCACAGCATCAATGACCTAGGAGCTGTGCTCTCCCTGCAGCCTGGGAGCCCTGCACCATAGCAGCCCAGATTCTCAGGCCTTCCTGGAGTTTGTCACAGCTCAGTAACAGGAGGACTAGGACCTCAGCTGGCCTGCTGTGAGCCTGGGGACCCTGGTGTGCTTCTGCCTGGCTGCTTTACTGTGGGCAAATCATGCTCTCTTTAGATCTGGTTTTATTGTAGGCAAGGCTGAGGTAAACTTCATTGCCTCATCAGTGGCTGTGAAAATGCTTTGTAAATTGTCAATGTGACCATATTAACAGTTGTTATTAATAAATTCCTTTGGCTCAGGGAAAATCCTGGCAGGAGCTCTTCAGAGAGGCCTCCATCTTGGTCAGCCTTGATAGGATTATGCCGTTGTTCCAGAAAGCTCACATGAATATAGTGATTTGCAGTTTTCAAAGTGCTTTCACATTCAATGTCTCAGTCCCCTCAAAAACTACATGAGACAGATGTTATTAAGAAAAGCCAGGGATACAGGCATAAGCTTAGAATGTGCACATGAAGAAATGCAGATTCTGTACAAGAGCAGAGCTCCCCAACCTATGATAAAAGTAGCCATGCAGGAGTGCTGGTCTGGCGTCATGACTAGCTTGCTTACCTTTAACTTCTTCTCTGCCCGGGCTGCCTGTTTGCAGATGGGGTGCCACACCTCAGAACCTAAGGGGCCAGGAAAATAATGAAGGTTCAGACTTTTGAACCTACCAGTATTTGGAATCTCTCCCCATCCCCACCTCCACTTATTCCCAAGGCAGAACATGTTCCTACACATCAGTCAGGAGGACCTCCTTGGCTTCCCTAGCTCCCTGCTAGAACCTCTCACTGGTGCACCAACTTGGCCAGTCACATACCTTTTCTGTGTGTCCAAATCCTATCCAGTCCTCAAGGGTCAGGTCTCACAAAACATTGTCTTGCAAACCTTACCTGAGAGCTGGGAGTGACTTCTCTGTCCTTGGTGATCCATACTCCTTTTATCCCTCTCCCAGTACACAGCTGTAAACACAGTAGCTTGTAGATTTATCACCCCAACTAAATTAAGGGACCCTTCTGGCAAGGGGCATTGCTCTTTCTCCCATAGCATCCAGTATGGGACTTTGCTCATAGCCGAGGTCCATACATATTTGTGGGGCAAACAGATGAGTGGACGACTGGCAGTGAGTGACACATAGCAGGTGGTCAATAAATATTTGTTGAATGATTGAATGGCAGCAGGGGTGAAAGAAAATGACAGACTGTGGTGGACTCCAGCCTTCTTTCTCTTCAAAGAGCCTGACAGTCCATCAGTGCTATCTATCACATTTAAGGGGGAGGCGGTGTCACACTATACATTCTGTTGGGAGCACCGTCTTGATGTGCTAATTCCTCAGAGACTCTAGACTCTTCAAATTTAGTATGCTGCTAATGCCCACATTTTATTTCCTCTGGGGGTCCAGTTGACCGGCCCCAAACCCCCTAGGCCAATTTGGAAAGGCATGAGCAACAGGTGGCTGGTCACATGTTGATAAGAAGCCTCAAATATTACACATTCCCCAAAGAAGGGACAGGTGGCCTGGATTAGAAGGAAAAATAGGAACATATTATCCCGCTGGAGCCATTCCTTTCGTAACCAGCCCTAAAAGGAAAGCAGCCAGCAAATGGCTGGATTCCTGAGCACCCAGATGGCATTTGTTTGTGTGACTTTGTTTCTAGGATATATTTTCCATTACAGTGTGTTGCCTATACCCTTACGACTGGAATATGGCTAAGGAATGGGGGGTTGTATAAGGCTAAAGAGTGAGACCTGGAAGAGAGGTGTGAGGATGGTTCTGAAGTCATGAGCCCTGGGTTCTCGTCTCTGCCTGGCCCCTAACGTATCCTCTCCTGTGTCCCAATTTCTTTATCTGATTAACAAAGAAGTGGGGTTTGGATTTCTTGGAGATTATTTTTAACCCTAAGATTTTAGTTCTAGGGCTGACTTTGTCTTTTATAAAGTGGGAATCTTTGATTCTTGTCTGCTGACATTCTTGGGTGTTGCTTACTATTCAAAATGGGTTATCTTCTAAAGAAAAATGCAGTGACTCTCAGAGCCCAGTAGAGGGACTCTGGGCCTGTGGCTTGATTTAGCAATCATAGATGTGTCTACTACCAAGCTGTGGGTCAGGATCCTTGCTCTCTGGAGTTATTAGCATTTCCGGTTCCTCTCCGTGCTGCTTCTGATTCAACCGGGAGTTGTTTACCACTGTGGCTCTGACAGGAAACATATGTTATAGGTCACTGCAGGAAATAGACAAGGTGGACACAGAGCTCTGAGGAGGACATGAGATTCAGTAAAAGACGTATAGGAAAGGTATAGGGGATAGACTTCCTTGTGAGGGGAAATGATTTGTAATACAGGGGAGCTGACTAGATGGTGTCGATTTTTGATTCATGACATTGAACTATCAGTTTTGAAATAAAACTGAGGTATACTTCTGCATTCTGAACACAGGAAAACATGTTTATATGTGAAATTAAAGGAGGTAGGTAAGAATAAAAAAAGAAATCATAGTTAGAAATGAAAAAAATCAGAAGTTTGGGAGTTGGTAGTATATCATTCAAGTTAAAGAAGGTCAGAAAGTAATTTGTTGGTAGCTATCAATAAGTTTAGATAAGTGAAGATAGGAAAAGGTGATCTGTTCATTTTTCAGAGGAAAGACCCCTATGAAATTATGGTCTGCTTAATTTGTGCCCTTGGCCAATAGCTCAACAATGACATTGATAGAAAGATAACATCAAGAGGGAAGGTGGTGGTTATTCTCTTTTGTGGACTTTATCCCCAGAGCCAGCAACAATGGGCTATGTGTGTTTCATAAGGAAATGCATGAGTGACTGGTTGAGTCCTAACTTTGCATTCTTTTTTTAAAAAATTTATTTTATTTATTTGAAAGACAGAGTTAGAGAGACTTAGAGACAGAGAGAGAGGTCTTCCATCGCTGGTTCACTCCCCAGATGGCCGCAACAGCCAGAGCTGTGCCGATCCGAAGCCAGGAACCAGGAATCAGGAGCCAGGAGCTTCTTCTGGGTCTCCCACGTGGGTGCAGGGACCCAAGGACTTGGACCATCTTCTACTGCTATCCCAGGCCATAGCAGAGAGCTGGATTGGAAGTGGAGCAGCCGGGACTAGAACCGGCGCCCATATGGGATGCCAGCGCTTCAAGCCAGGGCTTTAACCCACTGTGCCACAGCGCTGGCCCCTAACTTTACATTTTCAAACAAACAAACAAACAAGCAAGATAGAATGTAGTGGAGGAGGATGGTAATCAGAAGAAGGAGGGAACTAAAAATTAGACCCTAAACCAGGGTTTTCACTCTGAAGAAGACTGAACAGAATAGAGAGACTGGTTTTGAATATTTTAATGACTCTCTATGGGAAGAAGCATTCATTTTCTTTGCAGGTCTTATAAAGGAGAACTAGGACTAAAGGGTGGAAGTTTCCAGATTAATAGCCCTTATTCAATCGAGAGTGAACTCCCGGTCCTCAGAAGTCTTTAGGTACATACTGGGTAGATGACTGCACGGAAGGGATACTGTGGAGGCGACTCATCACATAGTTACACTAAAGTTCTTTGGCCATCCCTCACAGTCCTTTGGGATTCTGTTTCCACCTTCTTCTCTGTATAGCGAAAATAATTATTTGCCTCTATCTAATAACCCCAGTAAGAATGCGGATTCTGTGAAGAGAGGGATTCACATCCATCTTCAGTGCAAATTATCTGCAAAAAATGCAGATTCTCAATAAATATTAATTTAGTGAACAAATGAATAAAAGGAACATGAATTCTCTTAGGCTAGTTGAATTCTCTAAGATGGGCTCAGAAATTTGGACAAGTGGTACAATCTAGACTCTGATAGCTACAATTCCATTGTCTATAAGACAATTCATTAGATTGGGGTTTGTTTAGCGTGACCTGTGGACCTCTTGTCCTGCAGTCTGGTATAATATAGACTCCTGGTTCCTTCTTAGGAAGTCCCTGAAGCTAACGTCATGGAGGTGAGGCCTAGGAATCCTAGGAGAGTCAATAACACTAAATTTGAGAATCTCAGGGTTAAATTCTAGATTATACTCCAAATTTGTTTCCTTGTTATGTCATGGGAAAAAGATACCCATTTTACAAGATGCAACTCTAACTTCTTTAAAGAATACAATGTCTTTTGCTTGTTAGGCTCCTGTTTCCATGAGTCACATGCTCTTTTTTTTTATTTTTTTTTATTTTATTTTTTATTTTTTTGACAGGCAGAGTGGACAGTGAGAGAGAGAGACAGAGAGAAAGGTCTTCCTTTGCCGTTGGTTCACCCTCCAATGGCCGCCGCGGCCGGCGCGCTGCAGCCGGCGCACCGCGCTGATCCGATGGCAGGAGCCAGGAGCCAGGTGCTTTTCCTGGTCTCCCATGGGGTGCAGGGCCCAAGCACCTGGGCCATCCTCCACTGCACTCCCTGGCCACAGCAGAGAGCTGGCCTGGAAGAGGGGCAACCGGGACAGAATGCGGCGCCCCAACCGGGACTAGAACCCGGTGTGCCGGGCGCCGCTAGGCGGAGAATTAGTCTAGTGAGCCACGGCGCCGGCCCACATGCTCTTTTTTTTTTTAAACCTCAAATCTCTCTTTATTTCATATTGCCTCCCCCTCCCCCCCCCCCCCATTTTTTTTTTTGACAGACAGAGTGGACAGTGAGAGAGAGAGAGAGACAGAGAGAAAGGTCTTCCTTTGCCGTTGGTTCACCCTCCAATGACTGCCTTGGCCGGCGCACCGCGCTGATCCAAAGGCAGGAGCCAGGTTCTTTTTCTGGTCTCCCATGGGGTACAGGGCCTAAGCACTTGAGCCATCCTCCTCTGCACTCCTGGGCCATAGCAGAGAGCTGGCCTGGAAGAGGGGCAACCGGGACAGAATCTGGTGCCCCGACCGGGACTAGAACCCGGTGTGCCAGCGCCGCAAGGTGGAGGATTAGCCTATTGAGCCGTGGCACCAGCTCATATTGCCTTCAAAACGGCGTCCATCCCATAGTCACATGCTCTTGTCCTCTAAGAATGTTGCTCACAAGTCTTAGTTCTGCAGTTGAAACCTGCTGCAAAGGTTTTGGGAATGAGGGATTAGCTATTTCCATACCATCTCACTCAGAGATATAGATCTGACTCTCCAGTACTGTCCACCAACTGGGAATAAAGGCTGTTCAAATCCCTAGTAGAGTCAGCAGCCTTTTCTCTGACTGGCTATGGCACATACCACACCTGTAATGTTTGGGACTGATTTGTTCTTTGGGGACCCATGAACTTCTCTGCTGGACCTTGAAATTCAATTTGCCAATGCCTTTAAAAAAAAATGTCAAAGCTAGAGCTGGTGCCATAATCTTCCAGAACTCCCAGCTGAGGGTTAGAAACACAGCAGTGGCTGAAGGCAGCCCAATGTTCTGTTGGGTCAGCACTGTGATTTTAAACATGTTGGAATCTGAATATTTTTAGGCACTGCAGGTTGCCAGGAATCTTGCTGTCTGACTCCTGGACTTGTCATTCAGTGATGTGAGCTTTTGAGGTTTTGGGCCCTGATTCTACCCAGGGGTTCTCTTATAGCAGGTTTCTTCTCTAGATTTTTTTCTGGACCATAGCGGGGTACGTTTCTCAAGTCTGCCTTCATGACAACAGCACTACC